ATCATCACCACACTTGATATAAGACTTCACGAGAGCAATTTCGCTGCATATTATAAATAGGTTCTTACACACCAGAAAGCACTAGGTGTTTAGTACTTGGTCTTGTAGGCCGGCCCAGGGGCATAAGAGCGAGCAGGCTTGTACGCCGGGGCAGGGGCATACGAGCGAGCAGGTTTACTTCAATACTTTACAATCCTTTTTTACTTTACAATACTTCACCATCATGATTTGTTTTAGTAATCGTCCCCTTCACGTGCATTTACTCACCGCTGCTCAAGGAATAATTGGTCGCTATTTCATTTGGTCGCAAGTACTGCTTTTATTTTATCCCGTTTCTGTCCGCCTGCTCCACACAGTATTGGTTGTTTGTTGTCAAGACTGTTGATTATTTGTTCAAATGCCAAATCTACAAACTCTACGTGTGTCAACAAGTTATTATGAAATCTAAACAGCCCGGGACTCCGTCGGCGCGTAGCGGACGTGGCAGTGGCCACAACAGCACTATGATCACTTATAACGCCTGCTTCAATGTTAGCCTGTACGTCATTGCTACAGCATAGTGCCTCGCTAACAAATACATCACCTGTACGCGTTTAGTGTGGTGCGCCTAATCGCCGCCACGTCTGTTCCTATTTAGAGGGGTTTAACTGCCTCCATATATCTTCAAGACAAAACTCGCTTATGATTCCAGAGAGGCATTTGCTTGCGCTCCAAACATAAGGCCCTACCGTCTCCGCAGTGTTGGGCCTCGAGCGAATATGGCAGTTCCAACACAGAATTGTGTTAATTGACCACAGTGCACAGTAGCATCCTGTACCCTACACAAGAGTACAGTTACTTTCGGTTAAATATCAACTACCGGTGCATGCACACCTAAAATAACAAAATCATCTCAATCAATATTGAGTCGGTCACCAGCCAGTCACCCCTCTCCGCTGCAAAACTGACCTTGAACGGATCCACCGAATCGTCTAGGAAGCAATTGTGTCACGCCCACCTGATGCGCTGTTAAATGGTTCAATGTGACCGGCCGCGTCCCATTCATTTCCCCACGTGATTTGTTTCCAACGGGGAGTGTGTTTTCCTTCCAAGATTATTATATGAAATGAATATGTGACGCGTAAATCACAAACAATTGTGCGTCTCCGTACCTAGTCTCGCATGCCTCGCGTGCTACAGCTGAACACCGTAATAAGTCCCATGACTTAATGTTGACAAGAGTTCATTCTGCGCTATCATTCAACGGCATGCTTCACCTTGGTGGACGTACGTTCCAGCAAGTCAAAATCTAGATTTCTCACTACAAGAACATCAATGGACAGGGACCGAATCAGATGGTCATGTCAACATGATGCTTTTGTCATTGCCATGTCACCAAAACACACAATTTCTTGTCGGTATTCCAAACAACATCACGTAAACCGGGAGCGACGGAAAAATGCCGCCACACGCGGCCGGGCATAACGTTAACCCCGCGCCCGGTGTCGGTCATAGCGGACAGGACAGCGCGGATGTGGGTCACCCCGCACGGCCAAGGTCAAAACGACATAACAGGCCCGAGCGGCGATCTCTTCATCGTATTACCAACGGGAAAATCTTACTATAACATGTGAGCTCACCAAACACCACAAAAAACTTTAGCAGACCTAACGCACAATAATCAATCACGAGTTTAACAGACACGGCACACACACACACACACACACACACACACACACACACACACACACACACACACACACACACACACACACACACACACACACACACACACACACACACACACACACACACACACACACACACACACACACACACACACACACACACACACACACACACACACACATACTTGTGTGCCGTGCTTTACGGGACACCTGACTCAGCCGTCACTACCGAGAACCACCCGAACGAATGGCGGCATCGCAGCCAAATTGGAAGGCCATGCAGCCATTTGGCTGTTTAAGAACAGGATGGGTCGTTCGAGGGGTAAAGCTGCCATCTTTAGCTTACACTGACAATTGAAAATACCGAGGACATAGTGATAACAGAGGACTGTGTGTGACTTTTCTGTCATATTCAGCTGTGTATTGAGGACCGGGAGTTGCACTTGGAAATTAAGGACAAAGGGACAAAGGCTCTCAGGTCGGGGGCCTCGAACATCATTCAGAAGGACTCCTTGGGGTTGCTGGGAAACTGAGGGCCCCTTTACCGGTGAGAGACGATGTCGAACAGTCTGTTTTGGATATTTGTCGACAAATGTATCGCTTGAAACCAACATGTTAATTAATCAGCGAGGCAACGACCATCTCATAAACCAGTGTCGCGGCCACCTTTGAAAGACGACGGCGACAAACCAAACACGGCCAGATATCAATATGCTATCTTGTGCACAAGCGCGCAGCCAGAGCCTTGGCAATGGGCCAGGGGCACGCACAAGGTTGATAAAGGGCTCCCCAATAGTGAAAGCCCCCCCCCCCCCAAACAAAAATATCGCTGGCATTGGAGTGCCCCATTGTGCCGGCCGGGGCTCTGAATAGTCTTCCAGCCGACCTTTCTGGCCTTTGGGCCCTCAAATCAGGCCCTTAATCGTAGATCCCGAGGCCCTTCGGGTCCCCTGAAACCTTAGGCAGGGGGAACGTGCCCCCTGTGGCCTTCCCTCCCTGCGCTCCTGCTTGCGCGTCAGGCTGTTGGTTTGCGTTCAGGTATAGGCAAATAACGGCGGATCGTAGGCTTTCTGCTGCTTAAATCATTCATCTATAATATAACAATCGTTTTACTCTATTTTATCATGGTGCACTTTCCTGTCGTCCCGTTGAAGTCTAAATCAAGTCGGATAAATAGCAGCATACGCCATGTTAATACCTGCTGAACACTCTTCATGAAAAAGCCCTCCCCAGGCCGGTTGATATCACCAACGAATTTTGGCTCCATCGACCTCCATACGACATTGGCTCCATGTTGTGGAATCGCCTCGGACCGAATAACGAATGACTGCAGTTCATTAAACTACCCGATGAGTGTTTGCCCCGACGGCTGGACACCCGGGACACTAAATGTTTTCCGTCCCCAACGGCCCGATTAGAGTAGGAGAAAGGGCAACCAACGCCTTTTGGGTTTCCATGACCCTTTAGCACTAATAGTGCTAACAGTGCTAAAGCATCATCAATGACCCGGTCGGCGGCACACTACTCGACGGCGGTTTTCCCGAAGCTTCTGCTGTTGCAACGGTTGCAGCAGAGGGCGGCCGGGGCTGAGGAGCGGGCAACGGAGGCGACGCCCCAGACAGCGGTGGAAAAATTGACTCGAGGGGCTGCTGGAACTGCTTATCTGCTGACCGAGCTACTGCAGTTTCAGGTGCTTCGGCGGGCAGCCGCCGTTCATCTCATTCGCAGGTGACTCCGACAGTCTCTTCTACACTGTCGGTGTTCCAGTCAGTATACAAAGCCCCATGTTGCTCGACCCTGCTCGCGAACCCCGGTGTCTTAGGGCGACAGCACACAGCCTCTGATGCTGTGGATGTGACTGGCGGCGCGAGTGCGCGGCGGCCTCCATTGGTGGGGTGCACAGTTTGTGGCCCGTTTTTGGGATACGGCTTGTGCCGGCGTCGGTGCAGCGGTCTACTTAATGATGGCCTCTTATGCGACTGAGTGTGGGTGAATGGTTCGCTGTTGGTGTAACTGTGAGTCACGTGCTCATGATACCTGTTAAATGTGCCTTTCCCACGGCTTGCGTATGTGTTGGGTTTTTATATACGTGTCAATTACGCATATGCACTTTCTTCATACAAGTGGAATCCATGGTGCGGCGGGATGTAGCAATCAGCTGCTGACCGAGGAAGGAGGACCGTGCAACACTAAAATCAATGAGTCAGTCGTTACAGTCATTGCAGTCAGTCACTGAAGCCAAACGAGCTGCCTCATAAACATGTCGGCTGTTTGGCTGATGCGAGATTTCGTGCTCGACACCCACGCGCCCATTCCAGTCTTCAAAAACTAGTCAAAGGCCCCTGTGGCCCACCACTTCCCAATGTAACAAGTGTGCTTTGGTTAAGTGTAGTGGTGTCAGATTTGCCAACGGATCTCAAAAATGACGTAGAGAAAGAAGCATTTGCATTGAATCCTGTATTGGAAAGATGCGACAGGAGAATGACACACCTAATTTGCTTCCAAACTGACATTCAGGTATAACGCGTTTTTACCAATGGGGTGGGTCTATTTCCGTGCTTAGGTGTCATCTTCCGCCCAGAATTGCAAATCTCGCCACACTGCCCTTGGTGAGCACTGCTTTTTCACCGTTCATCAGCTCCACCTACACAGATTGCTACTATAAACGGGAGCAACAACAAGGAGATCGTTTTTGTCGTTGCGAAATTTACTAGCGAGCATCATCCAAACGTGAACGAAGTCGACATCTAATGTGTAAGTCACTGAGACTCATTTCGCCTTACGACGTACTCTAACAATCACGTTATGGACATGGATTTAACATCTCTCCATGAGCGCTAGGACAGAGCATTTTCTGCTGACAGGGCACGTAAGCATGCAGCTTGGCCAGAAACCTCCATGTGGCTAACAAACATGCCCAGCTGCCTCATCACAGCTGCCTTTTCCGCATTGCACCAGGCAATACGTCTTTTTTGCCAGTGGTGTTTTTTTCCTGAGCGTCATTGTTAGTCTCTCGATGTGAAGATGTCTCCTACGAAAACAAGTCTCCCTTACCCTCTTGGCTTTTTGTCCAGGTAGGACATTTGCGACCTCCACCACACAATCGTCTTAGCCTATGTCCTCCGGACCGTCCTCTTCTGCCATTGGTGCGCTGTTGAGGTAGTCGACTTCGTCCAGATTTTTCCCTTTGCAGACAGAGATGCCATTTTTGGTTTATTGGTTTTATACAACACGCATCACATCGCAGCCTACTCCTGTACATTTTGCTTCGATCCTGAGCATAAGGCACAGCGACTTTAAAACATGGAAAAAGGAAAACAAAATAATTGACCCAAAACGGAACGCCAACTGTATTCTCGCTCCGTTGTTTCGTAATCTACGAACTACACACTGCACAACTACATCTTTAGAATACCGCTCCGTATTTAAGATCATCTAGAAAATGCATACAGTTTGGCTCCAATGGTAATTTGCAGGCCGTCCAATGCTTGAAAGCGGAACTTCAAATACTCGCATCCTTAACGAGTGTCGCTCTCGGGAGTAATCTGGAAAGTCGAAAACGGGTGAGATATGAGAAATTTCAGTTCAGAACAGGATTGTGACCCCCACGTGAAAGAAAGTTATGCTTGTGTTCAGAAGCGTGGGCATGCACCACGCTGATGGCTCACGGGTGGTGGAATTAAAATAGCTGTGCAATAGTCGTGTCCGGAAAGATAGCTTTCCAGTTCACAGCAAATCCGTGAACGAATATCGGAGGCCACATGCCCCCCGTCCGCGTACATATTACCCATCTTGTTAGAGCACATGCACTGCCGTCAAGAAGAAGGAAGTGATGGGGCGGCGATGGGGGCGGAGAGAGGGGGACAACAATAAATCGTACTAAGCTCTAGCCACGCAGCCGAACTTAACCTGAAATTAGGCCAACAACAGCAGAGTCGCCAACATTCATCGTCAACGCGATCAGCAGCTACCGTGATTCGGACGGCCCTCATGCATGGTACGCGCGCCCGTTGGCAAACTATGGCGTGCCTGTCTTCATTCCTGTAGCCATGCACGCACAGCTGCGATGGGAATCGATTTAGAGAAGAGCAACAGTTCCAGTATCATCGCTGACCGCATGCGGCAATTGCGAGTCCATGCCCTGATGTCCTAGGCTTACTACGCCCTGTCAATGCCATGCTGTTCATGCACGCCATACGGTTAACAGTCGTAAGACAGCGAGGCATAACCGAAACGAGTTGTGGTAAAAAGCTTATTGCCTCTAAGCTCAAACAATGCATCAATAAGAAATGACGAAACTACGACAGACAGGCGGCGGTGGCCCACAGACCGTCATCCCAGCCCCCGGGCGAGTACGCCCCCCTAGCCCAAGTGTATGTCTACTGGCTGGTTGGTAAGAGTGGACAGTTTTCTGATCACTGCCATATCGCGGGTAGTGCAGGATGAAGGTAGTGTGCGCCATTATGCAAACATTATGATATATTTGATTTATGATTTTGGATCGAGTGCGTATTGTGAGTGTGATTGCACGCTATATGTGAATGCATCAACAAAAATTACAAAAAGACCAGACAACCAAACCGCTGACCTGACCATCGCATTTGAAACTATCCGACGTCACACCGTGATGCTGGCCGCGAAACAGATGGGAGGCAGCCCCAATGCACACCAACGCCGTAACTGTTTTTGACAACGTGACACGCTGGAAGACCGACACCCCTCCTTGCTGCGGATGGGCTTCTCCACGCCATTGCGAGACACTCGTCTGTCTAGCCCCCGCAGACGAGGTCTCTTCGAAGGCATTTTGGTCTGCCCGGAGTGCGCAGACCAGAACCATGCTTAGTGTCCCCTCGATGGGTTTTTGGCAACACCGTTATGGCCCGGAGCCGGATGTGGCAGCCAAACCCGCTACCACAAGCTATGTTCAGTGAGCGGCCGGACCCCACGCTCATGAAAGCGTCGGTGATTTCCGCGCAAACAAACCGGCGTTGGTGATGTATATTATATATATATATATATATATATACATATGTATGTATATATATATGTGTATATGTATATATATATATATATATATATATATATATATATATATATATATCTATATCTATATATGTGTATATATAGATATAGATATAGATAGATAGTATATATATATCATTGATCCCGTCGTAAAATGCGTAAAACAACATATAGTAATGATCCAAGGCTTGGTTCAATCGTCCCATTCATAGGAAATAATTAAAGAAACTATGTTGCAGCAAACACCCTAAGCCATACACATTTCACATACAATGAAAAGACCGAGACTGCCAGTGACTAAAAACTTTTTAAAGCAACTTCTGCACCCCACCTGTTCGAATTTGGCAGGGAAACTGCTTGCGAGGCCTATTTCCACCATCGCCAATGCTTCTCATTTTTCTTCGGGTAGCCGTGCCCGTGGTAAATATTCTCGAGGACCCATGAGCTCGAACTCTTGACCCGAACGCCCCAAAATCTGTCCTTCCCGAAGAATATCATGCTCCATATTGCAAATAGCATATGAAAATGCTGTTGCGCGTAAGTCCTTAAGCATCCCAAATATAGCCTGAGTTACCTTTGTTGCAGTAAACTTTCCGGAGGACTTCTTTTAGAGGACTAAACTTCTTTAACTCTCCCAATGGTATACATATAAGCCACCTGAGAACAAAAATGTTTTTGCATGTTTCATTAAAGAATGACGCCATGCACCGGTGGTGCCACAGAGAAGGAGCACTAAATGTTGACAAGACCATTCAATAACGCGGATGCGGGTGTACCTACATAATTGCAGGCCGCGATATGTTAGTGGCGTTGGTGCAGGTGGTGGTGGCGTTGGTTGCAGAATAAAGTGGGGCTGGTACAGTCGACACGTGCTTGCGTAGACCAGCGATGAGGATGGTGGAATGAGGTACCAAAATGGCGTTACACTGAGGTCACGCACCATGCAGGAGCTGTTATGGTCACACAATGGTAGGGGGGGGAGCCAGACATTGGTGGTGTTGGCAGGATCAGACACTGGTGAAACTGGCAGGGCAATGGGGTCAGCTGCATGGAGCCGACACTCGCATGGAGCTGGAGGGGTCAGACACCATGGTGGGATGGGTAGACCCAGACATTGTGGTGGGGTGCATGGTGTCATGCACTGTAATGACATCCTACTGGTTAAGGCACTGATAGGGATGGTGGAGCCAGGCAGTGTAGTGGCATATTTGTGGGGGTCGGACGATGCAGTGGTGTTGACAGTGTTGGACAATGTGATGGGGTAGATAGAGAAAGAAAAGCATGCATGAATTGCTAGATTAGAGCTGATGACAACAAATTCTACATGTCACAAATGATTCACACCCTCTTCAGAGTAGTCATTTCCTAAATAATTTGACTTTCCTGACATCAACTGACCTGAATCAAGCCGGTCGCACTAAGGCTTTCTGGTCTTCAATCGCTTCAATGTCCAGTGGCTATAACATCACCTGAAACAGCAACAATGCTAAAAATTATTCAGTGGGTGGAGATTAACTAAGGACTAAGTAAGTATTTTTTTTGTTTTTAGCGCCCCGGAGGTGTTCATTGTATCTTAAACGTGAGGAACGTATGGACTTCCCGACATAGACTCAAACAAAACAGGGAATACCCCTTTCGGTGACCATTTTTTGGCAAAACATGCTCAGGCTGAAATCGAGGGAGGTATGGACCCTATGCCCCTTTTAGAGCCCAAAGTCGTCTACAGAGCAGAGGGCCACCCAGGTAGGGAAAAATTTAATCTATTCTTGCAAAAAATCAGCGACCAAATTTTAAAATACAGAGCTCATCCTGGCCGATTTTGCGAACATGATATGTGCCTTTATATGCGATGTGTGCTAGCTTAAAATAGTTAACATGTGAAGTGACGCCTGACGCGTGATATGCGATGTCTGTTCAGTTGAAATCGCTTGCATGTATAATTGATGCGCGACTGTGATACCTGTTAACCTCAACTCGTTTGTATGTTTGAACGAAGCGTAATGCATGACGCCTACTTGCTTGAATTAGTTTGCATGTACACGTATTGTCGCCTATTCTGATTATTAGATAAGCACCGTATCGTGGTAACGGCTAGCAATAACTTTTTGTTTAATCCTCTAAGAATTGGTGTCCTGTAAAAACTGGCTTTCTATTTCCAAAAAAGATGAAAAATCGGGTAGGGCCACCAGCAGGCAATTTTGAATTTATTTCTGCTACTTTTTCAATATAGGCATGTTGCCGAAATATCAATTCAACTATATCTTTATTCTCCCGGTTTTTCTTCGACGAATAAGGCTATTAATATTGTCTTAGCTATGTGAAAAATGCTCCTCTGCTAATGCTAATGCACTGAACAACTTACGTAATCTTGCACAACATTGATTTGAGCCAACCGACGGTCGTTACGTCTGAAAATGTATTCACAAAGCCGGATATGAACGACGCAACGGTCATATGATGGCTTGCCTTAATCGCCCCATGGCCAATGAAATGGCAGCATTTGAAGACATTACGCGTTGTGGGTGCCTGGGTGACCTTGAAATAGTCACCACGAAATAATATTCGCACCTTTGCAGGTGTGTAGATCAGAAACTAGAAAGGTTTACAAAATTAGAAGGGTGCTTAAGAATGGCAGGACTGTGTAACATACTGAATGATCTTCAAGATGGCTAATTTCAATTGAAACCCATACAAATGTGGCACACACCCTTTTATGCTCTGGTATCTACCACACACTAAGGTTCCGATGTATGGAAAACCTTATGTTTGTAATGATTTCCCCTTCAAGGCTAAATTGGTGCCCAAAGCCTCTAAAAACGTGTTGTTCTAGGGGGTTGGGGAACATGTCTGTAAGTACCTAACGGCAACATTTTTTAAATGTAATACAACACCCACTGCAAATGCATGAGAAAAACTGCAATCATCCCCCTTACAAACGTCTGGTCTAGCGTGATAAACCTACCCAGACAATTGCATAATATTGCTGAAGTCAATCTCTTCAACCACCTTCAAAAGCTAACACAATGTTTGCCACTTCAGCAACTATCCTTATCAGCACACCATTCTCTAATCAATCAAGGCAGATCAGTCCTCCATTAGCTACAGTTGTCGGTAAACAGGGTTCACCAATCCCTTTCGAATATTTACTACTCACTTTTTAAAACCTTGCCCGACGACAATAACTTGCATCCAACGTAAGCCCAGTCTTCTCGTCCGAGGGGCCGCACACCGCAACGTCACCGTCGCGCTCGTTCCAAGAACGCGCAGTGGCGGCGATAGAGCTACGTATCCCATGTGACTTAACACAATTTACATTAATATCTTTCATCACCAGTTTCAACGTGATTCAATGTGATTTAAATGCTTATACCAAACGCAAACAACTTACAAGTGATGAGACCACATCATGGAGCAGCGTGATTTTGCATTTCCTTATTCATCTCTATTCTCTTCCACGTGACCTTGCCACCTGAAAAACTTACACACGCGCGCAGTTCGTCCAAGATAACACACTTTACACAACCGGAAGTAAAAATGCGTATAATTGCGTTTTCGAGGACCAGCTGAAAATCGAATAAACATGTTCAAACAAGACTAAATATCTCATTTAAGGCCTCTGAAAACCGAGGTCCGGCATTTGGACCTCGGTAGTGAATACCGGACCTCGGCAGTGACGGGTTGTTGGGTGTGTAACCGGATTTGGTCCTCTGTTTTCACGGCACACAAGAGCACACACACACACACACACACACACACACACACACACACACACACACACACACACACACACACGCACACGCACACACACACACACACACACACACACACACACACACACACACACACACACACACACACACACACACACACACACACGCACACACACACACACACACGCACCACACCAGCACAGGCGCGCTCGACGATTTCATCAAGTAACCTAGCAACACCGACCCGTGACCCCGAACAGCTGTTTCTTTTTTCTGCGCTTTTCTTCCTTTGCTCTCTTTTAATTGGTTACCTTACACAATGCGTTCACATTCAGCCAATCATTTACGCGGTCAATAGACAACATACTGATCGGAGAAGTGTTTGCGGTAAGATGCTACAAACAATGGCTGACACGTCGCTAATCGGACACGTCGCATCGGACACCTACCGTTCGTACTACGCATGGCGACTGCGAGCTGTTCAAATAACACTATGTCACTCTTTTTGATACATGAGTGCAAAATATCAAGTGTCTTGCACGTGTACTGAACATGCCTGAGTCGTCAAGCACACAAAGAGAGTTCTTTCACAATCATTTTTTAATCAAGCTGACCTATTCAAGTGTTTCACATTTCCCGACAGGCACCCACTGATCTCACTTTATTGACACAGAATCACGGTGAGCAATCTGATGATTACCGCGGCTGTGTTCCTTCTTTCCTCTCACCGCAAATATTGGGTCGTTGAGGGCTCGTCCGCTGCACCGATGCCCGTCCCGAGTTAAATGTGGCTGTATCTAGTCGTATGCTCACGGACGATTGCGTGCAACGCCCATCTAAGATTATCATGAGCACTGGACATGAATGATCAGGAGGTTACGGCCTTTCGTAATGAAATCAAATAATAGGGTATGCGAAAGTGTGATCTCACCTTCAATACAGTTGACAATAAGCTAGCCACCGCACATGGTTCACTTCCAGCACTGACCTATATTCACCCATGGAGCCGAGCAAAGTCTCCCAGTCAAGGTCAAGACCGCAGGCATGTATGCGGTAGACTGCAGTTTACAGCACCGGTTGACGAGACCAACACTGCGAACATGAAGGCATGCACCAGTACTCTCGTCCAATGCTGCATGCATGCTGCTAATGCTGCATGTATACTGACAATAACTAGACAAAAAATATCCTTTGCGTTCAATGACACAACTGCAAAACTCAAAAACGACGGGGGGTTGAATACGTGGAAACATACAGAAAACACAATATCGAATAATATCTTAAGCTCCGAGCCGTGGTCTTCCATACATTTTCCATTCCAGTTCTCCGCCTAATTACAATAGTTTCTTTTCATTGAGCACTCCCTGCAAGTACTTGTTAAAAACAGCAAAATTGTACGTCCTTATTTTCCCGACGTCCCGGGAATAAAACTCTATCAAAAAATGACCCTCTGTTTGCCCCCGTGCCTTGTTGACTCGGAGCCGGCGTTGAATTATATGCGTACTGTTGCCAACCGAGGCGACTTTCCTCCGGCTTCCAATGAGGTATTGGAGAGTATAGTAATGCAACCTTAGATCAGCTTGATAGAATGGCTATGGGTGTGCTGTGATGGCGGAAGAGCGCACGACGTTGCCGACTATGCAAGACTCGTGAAGGACGACAGATACGCACTCGCCATTCAGACATTGCTTACGTACGACGGAAGACTACCTAAGTGACCTTATTTATATCGAAATGCATCTCTTCAAGATCACTGTCACATTAGCCGACGAAGTGAGCCGTCCACGCCCGGTGACCTGACGTGGCGCGCCGCTGTGCTTGATCTGCCAATGCTTAAACTGGATATGCAAACCGATCTAGAAGAAATCGCTCACATGCTTTCTAAGCTGAACGGCAAAAACTGGTCCATAACTGCATAACTGTTTAAAAAATATAGATTGTACCATGTTTTTCAGACAATGAGGTGAAAGGCCAACCTAGGGCACATGAGGTGAAGTAAGCACGAGCGTGCCTAGTTGACTTAGAATATATTGACCCACGTTCCAAAACAATACAACTATTTGGTTTTCCGATACACGTCTCCCAAACCTTACGTCCCACAGAACTGCTTTCGTTAGAACTAATAGAAGAATAGTTTCGAAATATCATTGCATATTTTCATCTAGTCCTAGTGCCTTATCGGTAAGCCGCACTGCTCTAAAACTTTTAAAATTGTGTTTTCGCGGTAGAGGTATCTTATATATGTGTTGTCGTCCAATTTGAACGCTGTGCCGTGTCACGCTCCGACCGTTTGTCGTGGTATGACCCTCCAAGAACCGGTACAGCCGCGCTGCAACGCTCACGTGTCGCATATGCTCCAGCGGAACGCAAGTAACTACAACAGCAGCGAAACAACTTTAACGTTCACATCCTTTCCTGTTAAAATCAGACTAAATTCATGTCAATTCGCTACATTAATATTCAACGCAAGTGTGAAGTAGCGAACATGCAATCCGCTGTCTTAGCATCATTCCAAATTCAATTCACGGGGCCGCGCCCAGCCTCTCTGTCCAGGTCAAGACCGTGAGCGCGTATAAAACCAGGCCGTTCACCGTTCACAGCATCAGTCGACAAGACCAACGCTACAAACATGAAGGCAAGTACCAGCACGCTCGTGCAAAGCTGCATGCTCCAACCCCAATGATCAGCTTTCTTTTGGTTAGGGTTACGGTACCACTTCATATCTCAAAACCCGCTAGAAGAGAACCACTGATGTAACAAGATGGGATTATAGGAAATGACAGCATTTTGAATTCCGCAGGTGTTCATCGTTGCCGCTCTGCTGGCTGTGGCCTCCGCCACTCCTGCCAACAGCTACGCCCCGCAGCCGGCGTACTCTCATGGCCTGAGCTACCACCAGTCGTCCTACAAGGAGCCAGCCAACTACGACACGCCCCACCAGTTTGACTATGCCGTCAACGACCACTACTCCGGTGCCGTCTTCTCTCAGAACGAGAACAGTGACACCAAGAATGTCAACGGCTACTACTCGGTCAACCTGCCCGATGGCCGTACCCAGCACGTCAAGTACATCGCTGACCAGCACGGTTACGGAGGCTACAACGCCGAGGTGACCTACACTGGAGAGCCCCGCTATGAGGAGCACAAGCCTAGCTACCACCCGGCCCCAGCCTACAAGCCCGCTCGCTCTTACGCTCCGGCCCCGGCGTACAAGCCTGCTCGCTCGTATGCCCCCGCCCCGGCGTACAAACCTGCACGCTCTTATGCCCCTGCCCCGGCGTACAAGTCTGCTCGCTCGTATGCCCCTGCGCCGGCCTACAAGCTGAAATACTGAATATCTAGTGCTCTGGTGTGAACAAATAGTTATAATGTAAGTCTGTTCGTGCGAAATTTGACATTCATGTCGTGATGACCGCCAATAAATTGCTGTACCATAAAAGGAGCGTAGTTTTCCTTCAAATAGAAGAGGAAACGACGACGTGTCGACAGAAATCCTTTTCCTAGGCTTCCCCCATCTTTGGCTTAGACCTGGCTATCTAAAAAGTATGAAAACGCGAAACTGCACTGGATGCGTAAGCTTGTGTCTAGTTCTGAAACGGGATCATTGCTAAAAGGTCGATGAAGCACTCATCCATTCACTAGAAGCGGTGAAAAGAGGAGCCATATTGCCGATCAAATACATGACTTGTATTTTTTGCGCTTTGAATAATCAGAGGTACCAAAGGTATCGGAAGAAGAATAAGTTACCAAGAAGGAAAAGAAACGACTGTGGTATTTAAGTTTTGTAAAGTTAAGCTCGCAGCTCTAGCAAAACAGCCCACCCATCCGTTTTGAGCCTGTGATATCGCTGGTGACATTAAAGATCCGTCATGTGCAGCTGTAGCAAGAATAGTTTTCTTGAGGCTTTAAGAACGCTTAACACCACTAAAACAGCGTTGTAAATCTAGAGAACAAGATTCCAACGCTGGACAATCACTGATTTTGTCATGGTAAGTAGCTAGTGGGTCACGTACAACAAAAATACACCTTAAATGATGCTCTCGAGTCATTGATACCATTACTTTGGTGCGTAAGTGATCCTGCCGAGTCATTGATGTCGTTCCTGTGGCATGCCTCATCAGCTTCGGCGCATGACTATACCGCAAGAAATCGGCTGGTTCTATGTGCAGCGTATATTTCTGGTTCTAATTACAGCATCACCATGGATTTACACGTTCTTCAACACAATATAAAATGCACGACTTCCGGAATTGGTGACAACCTTATCACAGCACGGAGACGAACGCAAGTCGGTGGGGGAGGGGGACAGGGGAGCGGGTGGTCACTGATCGATTTCAGTCAAGGTTACAGGTTATTGACGCCATCGTACAAGAGGAAAAGCTTGTTTTTGTCTTCATGTACCGTGTAAAACTTTGAAAAACCCACTCGCCAATTTAACTCACAGCAAAGTGTTCTGTCTCCTCTTAAAATACACACCAAATCTTGAAGAATTCGCTCTATGATTACCTGGCAGCAAATTTAACTAGACTAAAGAATAACTACAGCAGTGTAGATCTTTGGGGTAGTGTCATGTACTTTGCAATCTACGGTTATAAAAATGTGCGGGATGTGCTTCTTGTTCAGGTGAGGAGTGTGAGATAATAAAGACGTTTGTGGCTAGCGGAGCTGCTGAAGAACCACAAGATGCTCGTAAATAGGAGACCGAGATGTTTCAGTTGTTTAGATGGGAGCAGTTTCGCCGGTCATGACCACTTCGGGGCTATGGAATGCCGGAGAATTACGGTGCAGGATGGAACTATCTGTACCTAGGGG